AATAATATATATAAAACAAAATTCAGTTTTTGTGGTGCATGTAGGGGCTAATAATGTAGGTAAAGGTAGGTCAGAGGAGCTAATTAATAAGTACAAGGGGTTGATAAAGGCATTTAAAGAAAGAGGCCATGACTTAATTTTGTCAGGGATACTGCCCAGAATTAATTATGGGGATTATGTTATAAATAGGTCACTAGGGCTAAATGCTAAGCTTAGATTATTATGTAAGGATTAGCAGATTGGCTGGTTGGACTTGTGGGACAGTTCAGTGGAAGAAGGGAGCTTTTTGGAATGGATGGTTTATATTTAAATAGGGTAGGAGCTGGCTTGTTTGCTAAGGCTATTAACTCAGCTCTAAGGGAAGTTTTAAACTAGGATTAGACAGTGGTGAGGGCCAGGAAAAACTAAATGCAAAAAGAATAAGAGGCAGAGAAAAGTTTAGCACAGGAAATGAGTATAGAAGTTATAAGGGTGGGCTTCATTGTTACTATTGTAATGCTAGAAGTATAAGAAATATAATAGATGACTTTAGAGCACTGATAGGAATGGAGGATTTTGATATAATGGGAATAACTGAAACATGGTTAAACGTAGATGATTTTGATGACAAACATTTCTTTGAAATACAGGGTTACAGGCTATTTAATATGGATAGAGTATTAAAGAGGGAGGAGTGGCTTTGTATGTAAAATGTGAGTTACATCCTGTTGAAGTTGAGGATATTGAAGATAAAAGCAAGGAGATTGAATGCATTTGGAATTCTATTAGTGGATATATAGGGAAAAGGCTACTAGTGGGAATTTGTTTCAGACCGTCAAATGATACTAATGAAATTAGTGAGAAACTTTACGATGAGATTAAGATTTCAGCTGTTAATGAAGTCATAATGAGTGATTTTAATTTCAGGCATGTAGATTGGGAAATGCTAGAGAAACTATAAGAGAGAAAGGTTTTTGGAAACTGTTCAGGATGGCTTTCTTTATCAATTAATCAAGGAACCTACTAGAAACAATGCTATTTTAGATTTATTATTTCAAATACAGAAATGATCAAGAGGGTAGAAATTGGGA